GGCTAAAAACTAGAAGTCCATATCTCGGAAACAAGAGATGGTACCATCACCATTTTTTCATAGAAGTGGTATCTGGCCCCTAGTACCCCACCCCCAAAATTTCAGACCCCAGGGTAGGGGACTTCGATGTCCCCGAGCCCGATGTTTATTCGTATAGTATTATATAGTAGGGCTAAAAACTAGAAGTCCATATCTCGGAAACTAGAGATGGTACCATCACCATTTTCTCATAGAAGTGGTATCTGGCCCCTAGTACCCCACCCCCGAAATTTCAGACCCCAGGGTAGGGGACTTCGATGTCCCCGAGCCCGATGTTTATTCGTATAGTATTATATAGTAGGGCTAAAAACTAGAAGTCCATATCTCGGAAACAAGAGATGGTACCATCACCATTTTTTCATAGAAGTGGTATCTGGCCCCTAGTACCCCACCCCCAAAATTTCAGACCCCAGGGTAGGGGACTTCGATGTCCCCGAGCCCGATGTTTATTCGTATAGTATTATATAGTAGGGCTAAAAACTAGAAGTCCATATCTCGGAAACAAGAGATGGTACCATCACCATTTTTTCATAGAAGTGGTATCTGGCCCCTAGTACCCCACCCCCAAAATTTCAGACCCCAGGGTAGGGGACTTCGATGTCCCCGAGCCCGATGTTTATTCGTATAGTATTATATAGTGGGGCTAAAAACTAGAAGTCCATATCTCGGAAACAAGAGATGGTACCATCACCATTTTTTCACAGAAGTGGATAACTGACCCCTAGTACCCCATCCACAAAATTTCAGACCACTCAGCTTATGTTTAAATTTTGAATTGCGAACTGCGTTCTAGAACGCAATTCACTTTTGAATTGCGAATAACGAACTGCGAACTGCGTTCTAAAATCTGAATGCCAAAAAATGATCTAATACAGAACAAGCTCTTGAGAACAAATTAGCTTCGATATTTATAAGCAGCTGAAATAGGGATATTACTACAAAATAAGGTAAGTTGACGAAGAAACTCTGACGTCGTTAATTGTAAATCCATTCTTATAAAATAGAAAAAGGGCATTTTTGCCGTTCCTAAAACATACGTATTATGATAGATAACTAAATTTAGCATAATTGTAAACGATACTTTACAATAATAGACGATGAATGCTTTTTATTGATTTTCTTTGCAATAACATATGTCTGTGCCTGGTACCTTTACTTGCACGATGCATTCAGAGAACATAATATTTTCCTTAAAAGTCCATTTGCTGTCCTCATATTTACAACCAAAGGGCCAAATTGAAAAGTGTTTATATTATGCAATTTCTGTACGCATTTTGAAAAGTTATTTTGAATTCAGTTGTTCCTGCCTGGTTTATAAAAAATATTTATAAAGTTTCCATGAATCTTAAAAGGAAGAGAATTATTTAAAACAATTTTCTCATTTTCTATAAAAGTTCCAATATTCATGACAGAATCTCTCTACAATTTGTTTGAAGAATACGATTCATAGACATAAAAGACACATCTTTCATAAAAAGATATGTTAATGAACATTTTTCTTTGGTGGTCTTTATTAATGTTACTAAGTACTTCTTTCAAAAAATATTTTTTTTAAAATCATCATCAAAATAGTAAAACATATCAGATAACAACATATTCATAAAAATGCAAAAAAAGTGGTAATTTGAAATTTGAAATAAATACAACTAATACTGTTCAAGTAAACATGCATATTTTGGTATAGGTAAACATTTGTTTGTCTAAGAAACCGTTGCTTATCATGTAAGAGTTTATATAGTTGTATACACATATCTACATGATATTTCCGTATTTTGTTCCACGGTCGTTACCATATGCTACCTCTTCATCTTGAAATTCTCCCATTGAAAATCCTCCAAAACTATATAGACTGTAACAAAACAACAAGAAATAGAGAAAAGGAAATCAACATCTAAATAATTTTTTTACAATACAGGTGTTACACTACTGTAATATACATGTAAACCAATGCAAATTCATAGAATGTCAAATTATGCCTTCATGGCACCTGATTCCACATCAGATGTTTCGGAGGTCCGTGTTTGCTCTGCTCCTATTTTGTATTGTTTTATGGACTTTGATATTGAATACTGTTCGTTATCTCCATATCCTTCTTTCAAAGATAAACCCTAATAGAACTAGCCTTTTTTTCAAAGGTTTCGATTAAAATGGACAAGTTCAAGTAGATGAAAATTAGGAAGTTTCTCCGTGCATTTAATGTACTTTTTGCTCTTATTTCTTTTTTATTAACATGACTGCACTATGTTCATTCACATCCTAGAATGAATATCTCATTATAATACACATTCATTCCCTATGTATAGCTTGTATCTCGAACTTTGATTGGTTAAAAAGTCGGGTATAAATTTCCGTGCATCTGACTTGAGCGGGAGGAGGGGGATAACGTGACGTCACAGTGCATAGTTTTTTATGTTCATTAAAAAGCAAATGACATGACGTCACGATGGATTGTAGTACGCAGGGAATCTTAAAGATAGGTTGAGACACAGTTGATTGGACTTATATTTACAAAGAATTTATTTGAGTACTACATGGGAAATAAATTCGTTATCCAGGTCCAATCAAAATCCCCATACACCCTTAATTGAACCTGGATAACTAATTATGTTAACTAAAGCAAAATTACTAGAATATGAAAAATATTGTTTTTCATTTTAAGTCATATTCTTTCTTTCAAATAGAAATCATGATCTATATCCATACCTCGCAATTTGTTTTCTTTCAATTTCTATTCGCTTTTCTTTATCCATTGCCTTTCTATCAAGAATGTTATCTGTAATTTTTAAATGTTTTTCGTATATTTTCAGTTAAATAAAGTTTTCTAAAATAACTTTCCAGCTTTAAAAAAAAAAGAAATACCTGGACGATCGTATAAATTATTTGAATAAGGCCTTGCATACAAGGAATCGACTAATTCAATACTGCTGGACTCTATCTTCTCTCTAGAAAACGGGTTTATGATAAGTTAAAATATTTCATTTTTTTCATTATTACCCGAAAAGAATATATACTGTACAAGGCGATGATTTTTTGTCAGTTTTAGAAAATAACTACAAAGGACTCTGAAATCTAAGACTAGATGAAAAAAAAAATACTCACTGTTCAACATTCAAACTTAAGTTAATCATTTTCTCTCCTGAAATATAATGAGTTTGTAATACAAAATGATAATAACTACATGTTTATAACATCCTCCACATCGAATACTTTTAAATTAATGAAGTATTTTATCCAAACAATCTTATCTCAAAATTGACCGCTCATTGAAGTAGTAAAAAACTGACAAAAAGAAAACCAACGAAAATGCAATAAAGAGACAATTCAAAGACAATGGTTGGATATGGAATTTAAATAACACGTAAGATAAAAAATTCTAATTTTGAACATATTATTTTTAAAATCTGTATCAGTAGTGAAATAAATTGCAATTTGCAACATACTCAATTCCAAACATTGAATAAATTCTAAAAATAAAAATGTACTTACGTTTTCTCTTTACGCAACAGACGATGACTAGAACGTTAAGGAGAAGAATGAACAGAAGGCCCCCACTGCCCACACCATAAACCAGGAGATTATTCATGTGTGAGAATATCTCTAAATACAATATTGAGGAAAGAATTGTGTACAATTAAATTCATTGTTGTACATGTATGTTTATAATTGAAACTGAAGAATAAAATTTTAATAGAATCAAAATATTTACGAAATTTTCCCTTTTTTCAAATGTCATAATTATTATGTAAATTATTACAATCAAATTAGTTATGTTGACCTTATTTGTACTGACATAGAAACTCGCAATGGAAAGGTTAATTTCATTTGTAAAAAATTATTTCTTTTTTACCTAGTATTTCAATTCCTCTCTTAATGCTTTTCTTGCTATATTTTGCTATAGCCCTCAATAAAATGACAATGTTTGATGTATACTAGTACTAGTACCTCTTGATTTTTTATTTTCCTTTGCAATTGTTGATTTGTTTATAGAAGAATCATGCGTCTTTGTCGCAACATCCTGTGTTGTAGGAAAAATCCCTATCACTGCATCTTTAGAACTCACTTTGCGCTGCCAACTTTTAACCCTAGATGACCCGTAAGCGTCATTGTGTAGACAAGCTTTTTCAGGATTCACGGATTCGCTAGTCAAGATGTCTAGGGATGTAATTTCTGTGCCAAAAAGTAATACTTATAATGAATTTTTACTTTCACAAATTGTGAAATTGTTTTACCGTCTCTTCTAGAAGTTTTTTTTTTCATATTTTTGTGACTTTTTACTTAATTATGTGTATTTCTTCAATTCATTCTTTTCATAAATCATATGCATTTTTGAATCGATTCATAGTCATTAGATATCAAATAATAAAGAAATAAAGTGCTGCCAGATATGTTTTGTTATACATGAATAACATTCACGATTTGAATGCTTTTAAAAAAAGTTGATAAAAGACCTTTTATTATTATTTTTTCATTTACTTCATAATACCGGTAATTAATTATTCGGTTATGATACTGTACATACCTACTGAGGCGTTTCGTTTATTTTCACTGGATTCAATGAACTTGTCATTCTTGCACCGTAAATAAGGTGTAACTTGAATATTGTATTTAGTGGATACTTTTAATCCCCAGTAAGAATATTTCAGATCACTTGTATACGTGAACGCAACGCGGGTACCGTTTTCTTCCAATTTGACACCGAATTCGCCAAATGGACAAGTTCCATTTCCAATGTGCGCTGTCGACGTCCAATTGGAATAAAGGGTACAATGTTCTATCCAGATGTTTATTCTTGGTTGAAATTCCTGACCAAACACATCTTAAAAGAATAAAGTAAACGTTTGATAAACATCTCTATTGATAATTGAGGATTGGTTAGTGGAAATTGTCATGATGAAACATATAAAGATAACGAACAGTATTCAAGATCAAAACTCCATGAAACAATACTAAATAGGAGGAGTGTAAACACAGACCGCCAAAATATTAGAGGTGGTACCAGGTGCCATGGAGGAGTGAGCATCATCTGCTGACCGGTCAAAACCCGCCGTGTGCTCCTTGTAATGGTTGGGGGAAAACGGAAAAATCCGTCGTCAATTCAGTGTATAAATAATGGAGTAACAATTATTAAGAAAATCGTCATTCAGCATTTGACCCAATGATAAATTGTATTTGCTGACAAGGTCATTGTATCGACCAAACCAAAGAAATGATGACTTTAAACGAGACTGCTGATATTCTTGTTTCATCAACTTGTTAGTCAATAATTTTCCTCGTTTTATAAATTGCTTGTACGTAGAGCATGCTCGTGCGTATCAAATCAACTGAGAGACGTAAACTCCGTATGCAGGTCATGAAAGTATATTGTTGCATAAGAAAGGGAAGTTGACAATAGAAAAGGTAAAGTCATCTCGTTTATCGTACAGCTTGGTTGTTAGATTATCATTAACGTATTTTTCAAGAAAAATTTCCAAATATCTTCATGTCTTAGATAAAATAAACTATATTTAAGTGATTTTTGCTTGCAGTTGGCTACCAGTCAAAATATATTGTCCATGCCATTTTATTGAATTATTAGTATGTTGTAGCTTGTAACTTAAAGGATTGTCATGTTTGAGACCCAAGGTCATTTCTCAAAAGTTTTTGTCAGGTGCAAACTTTTAGAATCATGTCTGGAATGAATTTAATCTTGGATATGCTGTTTCTGAGGAACCAAATGTGCCATATATCTCAAAGTTCAATTGTTCACTGGGCATTAAAATGTAAAAACTGTACAATTATGTTAAGTAATGATATCGTATCTTTCCTTAACCTAAAGATGGTGTCTATTACGTTGAATTAAGACACTCTTTAACATTTTTTGGTTGCCCCCCCCCCCCCCATTGACGGATTAAAACTGACCCGACTCAAAACTTATTTTTTTACATTCCAGGACACAATTTTCCCCCTTTTATTCCGTCAAAAAATATGTTGAATTTTTCTGAAAAAAAAAAAATTTACCACCCACCTACCTACCCTATAATTTTACCATGAATAGGGAGAGAGCGATCAAGGATTATTTCAGAGATGACCTAAAAACATATCATCACGGTTCTTTTTCAAAAAATGTTGACGAAGCAAATAGGTTTGAAAAAGAGTGGGGATCATCCATTATTGTCAGAACAGTATGTTCACCCACCTAGCAATTTCCTTAATTAAAGTGTATTTAGTTGAAACCTTAAAGAGGCGAAACTTTTACCCTATTTCAAACCAAACTTCAGTCATTTTAAAATCATAATTAATACTGAGTAAGACTCCAGTTGATTGCATTCATAATAAGTTATGTATACATGTACAAGGCATTCAGAATACATATTACAAGGAACAAGTTATAGTGATACTTACTCATCGATGTTAACAATGATATTAAGATATATACATATACTGAACATTGCTGACTTTTTTCAGGACCCATCTTTCCACAATGAAGAAAAATCAGGCAAATGATATAAATATACTACCAAACATAAACCTGTTAGATGATTGGAAAAATCCAGATACAGGAAATCCATAAATAGTTGATTTTTCTATTCATGAAGATAAATACTTCCTCAAAACACATATATATTAATGTATGGTATACGTTTAGTTTTATCTGTTGCTAGAAGATCTCTATAGATATTTTAAACATGCACTTGTCTTTTGCTCATGATCGAATATAAAAAGTGCATATTTAAATATACACTTACAGACCTATTAATTTAACTTTCATTTTTACTTATTAATTTTACTTTCATGGCAGATTATGAAATGTACAATATTTACATGAAACTGTGAACTGAGTCTCCAGATTTAAAATACATTACAACGTAAGTAGCTATCAACTACTTGCAAGATAGTTAGATGCATTTAATAAGTCAGGGACTTATATAAATGATCTTAACCAAATTGAGAAAAAAGATTGCAAGGAAATGGGCCATAGAATTCTCGATATATACTGACAGAACTTCATATGGTTTACCATTTAGCAATTTAATCTGTTGACAGTTTCAGTTAAAAAGGCCAGATAACGAATTAAAATTGACCTTGAAAAACCTTCAAATATTACAAATCTAAGAGAATGGCATAAAACACGGGTGAGTTCGGGTTACTAGGAGAAGTATATGGAATTGATCATCCTTTGTCATCTCCTGCCGTGAGCGCTATGTCGTAATCAGATAGGCGGAATAATCCTTATTCTAAATAAGTTTACCAAGACTTTATAAACCTCATCGCTCACTTCGGAACTTCGGCTAGACAAAAGCTGAAAATTAAAACGTTTTTAAAAAGATTAAATATATGTGTGATCCCGTCACCCTGGGGGATTGATTCCAACCGATTTGAGTCTATACTACTCCAGGATGCTTCTAAGTTCATATTAACAATCATGATGGTAGCATTGCTGATCTTAAAATCTTGAAATTGAGTTTTATTTTTTTCAAAGAATTATCCCTTTAAATTCTTTTGTAAAAGTTTTATTATCTTTTGAAGTCTGCTTTATCCCAGGGGTCATTATTTGAACAAATTTGAATTTATCCCACCGGGGATGCTTATTCAGATCTGTTAAACATGTATTATCAAGCCTTTGTTGCCCTTGAAAAAGGATCTTTTAAAAATATTCTTTTATATATATTCCTCAATAAAAGCTTATCCCTTGTTGTGGCTTCATCCCAAGGGACACGAGTTGTACGTATACTATCTTAAATCTATGTTACAGAACTACCTGAGAATACCTCTCTATTTATATGACTATATTCATACATGTATATGACCATTTTACGATTAGTTTGGACTTTCAGTGAGGCATGGCATTCTCGGCGCTACATGTTTACCGCCTGCCAAATGGCGAATAGATTCTCATTGGTTAAGAAATTCATAACATCAGGAACTTTAATTGTTGTTGACAATGATATGACGACTTAAGCTCCACCTCTGTGCAGGATTAGACAATGTAATTGGTTATTCGATACACTAATACACTAATTAGCATTTGCCCGAATTTCTATCGCATGTATATTTCAACAGTGAAGGAAAGCTGGGTAAATTTCAGAAGCTAATTATGTATTGTCGAGAATGCAACGCCTTACTGAAAGTCCAAACTAAGTGTGAAATGGTCCTATCTATTGGCGGTGTACGTGTTCCCGTTTTGCACACATTTTGTTAATTAGGTATGGAACAATAAGTGTGAAATGTGTTTTGATAACAATTATAGTCGAGTTTTCGTTGTCTTAAGTTGTCTTCTAAATCATGGAAAGGATACCTCTTTATACAGAGTTCATTTGTTTTGATTCCAATTTATAGGTGTGATTTGGAGGGCAATTATCTCTTCCCAACAAGAGAGAACTTAATTATGACAACCATATTCCCTTTGTTTATTATTGATCAAAATATAATAAGTGCATGTTTCATAGCTGAATAGACCTGTGAAACACTATGCGCTCGGCGGCAACAAAGTTCTAAAAAGCTATTTTTAGCATATATGTCACAGTCAAGGTCAAAAGGTCACAGATCTTGGTGTCATTTGAAAGAACTTAATTAGTGGAGTATGCATACTAAATATGAAGTATCTATCTCGCACGGTTCAAAAGTTATTGCGAAGGTTCAAGTTGACAATAGACAGACAGAGAGAGAAACTGACAGCTAGACAGGACAAAAACATACTCCTCGATCTATCGATCCAGGCGCATAAAAATTAGTATTTTACGTTATGATTAGAAAGAAAAACTACATGTAGAATAACAAGCCAATCATTTATTTGTTTGTAAATAATAACTTACTATAAGATTTTGTATTATAATTGAAGGATTGAGGATATGTTTTACAGTAAACTAAAATAAAAGACAGTAAAATGGGGAGGTAGTACAAGTTCATTTATTTATCTTGCAGGGAGGTGCCTGTATGAATTTTAAGGGCGGATTCCACCTGGAATTTGGGGGGAATTGAGCAGGAATTGGCAAATTCCGGGCGTACTTGAGGCGGAGACGGAATTTTCGAGAAGTTACGCCTCAGTAGAAGAGACGTCTTACAGACGTCATTTCTAATTTCCAGGCGTCAATTGGCAAGTTCAGATTTTCCGGGCGTAAAATGGCAGGAAAATAGAAACAAAAATTACGCCTGGAACTTTCAGGAGTAGTAAAAGCCTCTGATTGGTCAATTTAATTATCAATTAAGGGTCATTTCAGATAGGTGGTTAAGTTTGAATTTGATCATGAAGGAGGGAGTTTAGTGTGAGTGAAACAGGAAATGCAGATATATCAATGTTAAGGCTTTTACACTTCTTCTGGATGACACAATATCTGCTGGTACACTGTAAAAACAGTGTTTAGAATCTAAACACAATTCTAAACACATTTTTAAGGTCTTCCGTTTCAGACGGAAGACCTTATAGTGATTCTACTGTTTTTTCTTATTATTATTATTTTTTTTCCCAAATCTTGTCGGCAGGATTTCTCAGAGATGGCTGGACGGATTTTCCTGAAATTTTCAGGGATGATAGGGAATGAGAATACCCCGAGACGTTTTTTTCATTTTTTCAAAATTCACTTCCGGTCGTCAGATTTGTCCGATTTCCTGTTTTTTAAAAAATATCTAATCCGAGTGAGATCTCAGAAACGGTAAGAGATTAAGGCACCAAACTTACAGGGATGATAGATCTTGATAAGTAGGCAAATCCATTTGGGTTAACGTTGTCCGCCGTCACTTCCGGTCGTCACAGGAAGTGTTCATAAATATCGAAAATTTCAACTTTTCTTTTTTAAAACTTTTTTAAAATCAAATTATAGCATCTTACATGTAGTGTTGAAATATGTCAGTCCCACCGGAAACAAAAACGACAACTTCCGGTTGTAAGAGAAAAACTGCATATTTTCAGTATTTTTTTTTTCCCATAAATATTCTTTATACATGAAGTATTTGTAATGATTTTTGGATATGTTGTTCATACTGCAAATGTCTATAACGTCAAATTTCTTTGTAAAATTCACTTCCGGTTGCGTGATTTCCTGTCCTCAAAATGAGAAGTTATCATAGAAAGATCTCGTAAACGGTAAAAGATGAAGACACCAAACTTATAGGAGTTGTAGATCTTGATGAGTAGGCAAAACCATTTGGGTTAAGATTCTCCGCGGTCACTTCCGGTAGTCACAGGAAGTGATCTAAGAAATCAAAAATTTTAACTTTTCTTTTATGAATGTTTTTTTTTTGCATCACATTATAGCTAGCATCTTATTCATAGTTTTGAAATATATCAGTCCCACTGTAAACAAAAACAACAACTTCCGGTTATAAGAGAAAAACTACATAATTTGAGTATTTTTTCTTTCCCGTAAATACTTTTAATGGATAATGTATTTGTAATAATTTTTGGATATGTTATTCAGACTGCAAATGACTACAGTAACGTCAAATATCTTTGTAAAATTCACTTCCGGTCGCGTGATTTCCTTTCCTCAAAATGAGAAGTTTTCATAGCTAGATCTCGTGAACGGTAAGAGATCAAGACAGCAAACTTATTTAATTGGTAGATCTTGATTAGTAGGCAAATTCAGTTGGGATAAGATCGTCAGCCGTCACTTCCGGTTGTCACAGGAAGTGATTTAAAAAAATCAAAATTTTGAACTTTTCTTTTTTGAAACTTATTTTGCATCACATTATAGCATCTTATTTGTTGTTTTGAAATATATCAGTATCACCGGAAACAAAAACGACAACTTCCGGTTATAAAAGAAAAACAACATATTTTGAGAATTTTTCTTTCCCATAAATGTTTTTGTATATAAAGTGTTTGTAGTGATTTTTGGAATTTTATTTAGACTGCAAATGTCTACAGTAACGTCAAATATCTTAGCAAAATTCACTTCCGGTCGTGTGGTTTCCTGTCTTAAAAATGAGAAGTTATTACAGCTAGATCTCGTAAACGGTTAGAGATTAAGACACCAAACTTATAGGAGTGATAGATATTGATAAGTAGGCAAAACCTGTCGAGATAAGATTGTCCGCCGTCACTTCCGGTCGTCACAGGAAGTGGTCAAAGAAATTGAAAATTTCAACTTTTCTTTAATGAAACTTTTTTTGCATCACATTATAGCATTTTATTTGTAGTTTCAAAATATATCAGTCTTACCGGAAACAACAACGACAACTTCCGGTTATAAGAGAAAAACTACATAATTTGAGTATTTTACTTTCCCATAAATACTTTTTATAGATAAAGTATTTGTAATGATTTTTGGATATGTTATTCAGACTGCAAACGTCTACAGTAATATATAATATCTCAGTATAATTCACTTCCGGTCGCGTGACTTCCTGTCCTCAAAATCAGAAGTTATCATAACTAGATCTCGTAAACGGTAAGAGATTAAGACACCAAATTAATAGGGATTGTAGACCTTGATGAGTAGACACATCCTTTGAGTTTAAGATCGTCCGCCGTCACTTCTGGTTGTCACAAGAAGTGATCAAATAAATCAAAATTTTAAACTTTTCTTTATGGAATCTTTCTTAGTATTACCTTATAACATCTTACTTGTAGTTTTGAGATATGTAGTCCCACT